TGCTGTAACAACTTCATTACCGTTCAAAACCCAGAATCACGAATTGACGCTGGTTTGAGTTGTCAAATGACATCACAGTGGTGAGAATTGGTCATGCATTGTGTATTATTGAACAATGGCATCAAGAAGTAACAGTCTCTAAGGTGTGTTACTGTTGAGACAATTCATGTAAAGCTGCATGGCTAAGGATTTTGAATTGATTCACTACATGCCTTTCGTAACAACTTATTACCAACTAGTCTGGTTAATACTATGGTTCTTATTTACAGGGAAGATTTAGAGAGAGCAGAGCAACTAGTAGATAGTTTAAAATCTAAGATGAGAATGTCTGAATCACAGTATCTCTTAACAAAGGATGAGCACTCTGTGTCAGTAAAAGGATTATGTTTTAAATGTGCACAGAATGAAGCAGTCATAGCATCTACCCATGTAGATATGAATGTCAAAGCAGTAGATAGACTTACCATGTAAGTAGCATCTACCTATATATATTGATTTGCTTCTTATTTGTGTAAGTCCCTATACACAGTATGTTCTTTTCACCTGTATCATTTGCTTGTGAAAAATAGTGCATGTACTACACTAAGGGGTATTCTCGATTTGTAGTAGTTCATCAAAAATGATGGGGAGGGGGGTCACAGGGCTATTTCGTCTAGAATGCAAACATTGTTTTCAATTTCCATCGATGCATTTTCAGTCTTTGAAAAATATCCTACTTTGTGGATGTAAGTTCCTACATGAAATGCCTTTTTTGTTTTCGCATGTTCTGTTTTTTTATGTAAATTGTGTAAAATAACTTACCATATAGTATAGTACTGGTAATCTTGTTTCTGATATTGCAGTGAGAGAGATGATTTGATGGACACAGTTACTAGAATGAAAAAAGTGTTAGAAGATATGAAAAGGAGAGAAGATGACTCACATGAGCATGTCAGGAAAAGTATAGAGATGGTTGAACAGGCACAGTTAGAAAAAACACAGGTAAAGTAATCCATTATGTGCATCAAATATTGCAATTCTTCATACAAGGATACTGTACTAAATGTATAAATTATCAGCACAGTGGTTGGAGTTCTTGTTTTTATCACTGAGGGTGCTACACTTCTTGTATATGTCTACAATTAACTAATAATGGTACTTGAAATGCCAATTTATGTTATTTTATATGTACCAAAATACCAAATGATTCATTCACTGTAATACCAAACACATCTTGGCATATATTTGTCATCCACATTGCCATCTTCTAGTGACATAATTTCTTTATGTGCTGTTCTAGTATAATTGATTAATGCAGTAATGCAAGATCAGGCACAATACACTGACTAATCCTGGTTTATTTCTGTCACTGCAGGCACTGGTGGAAAAAGCACAACTCGATGAAGAGTTAAACAAACAACGAGAACATTTTGAAGGCCTGTTGGCTGAACATCAAGTATCTCTGGAAAAGGAAAAAGAGTTTGTGAAGCAACAATGCAATAGACAAATAGAAAGCATGCAGGAACAAGTAAGATTATATTATTACTCTTCTCAATATTATCAAATTGATTAAAGTTTTGTTTATATTATCATTTGATTAAAGCGTTGTCTTGATGAGTTGTTAATTTTATGTCTGTTTTATGTCTTGTGAGCAGCTGCAGACCATGTTACAAAGATTAACTGCTATGGACAATCAAGTAGACAAAGTAACAAGAGAGAAAACTACTATGATGTCTGAATTAGAACAAGCTAGATCACAAATAATGCACCATGCTGACGAAATAAACAAGGTTGGTTCACAACTACCATGTTGCCGTTTACTTATATTGTTGTATGCATTTACTTTCAAATGTGTATTCTCTGCAATGGTTTAGCGGATTTATACTGGATTTCCTCCAGTCTTGTAAACTATGATTCATACAAAATGTAGTTATGAAACCACAAAAAATAGACCATACTCC